AAACAAAAGTGAGGAGAAACATGTATCCACACAAGGATGGGTTGTGAACTTCATCAAAATACCAGAGAATCAGCCCAAAACTCTGAGAAATGGATAGAGGAGAACCAGGACCATTTACCCCCAAGTACCCCACCCAATGGCGCAGCGATCTTGGAGATCGGCATCATCTTCTCCAACTCCGGCCGCCGAGCTCCATCTTCGATTTCTCCCTCTCCGGTGAGTCCCAATCCGATTCCCTGCCATGGTAGCCTCGCATGGACCTCTCTAACACGAAAGACATGAATGCATGGTAGTCCTTTGAAGAAATCGAGCCATCGTTGTTCATCCAAGGTGAAGCGCCACTGCCGAGACATTTCGCGAGCCATCGTCGACGACCAAGCTTGGCCGACCTCATCCGTGCGCCAGGATGCCGCCGTGCGTCATCACCGTCGGCGGTGAACCCCTGCGATGCGACGCTGCCCCGCCGTGGCCGAGCCATCCCGGCTCGGGCCAGCCGCCGTCGCGAGGAAGAATGGGGAAAAGAAAAGAAGAGAGAGAGGAAGAACAGTATGTGTCCAGGGGCATTTTGGTACTTACACAGCTCTTTCTCTCTCCATTTTGACCGGAAATAATAAAATAATGGGAGGACTGTCCAGCAACTTATTACCACTTTTTGCAGTGCCCACGAGCAAATACACGATCTTCGGGTGTCTCATAGCAAAGGTCGCAATCTTTCGGTGTCCTGTAGCAAATTTTGCCATGATTTTCACATGCATGGATCTTCTGAACACCTAGAGATAATGGACATATCAATTTCTTCGCTTGATAAGTGTTTGTCGGCAGGAGGTTCGACTTAGGAAGCATAACTCTCAAAATATCCATCAAATCATTGAAGCTTGTGTCCGATCATCCATGTCTGGCCTTCAATCTGAGAAGTTCAAGCACAGAGCGCAACACCGTATAGTCCTTGTCGCATCCTTTCGCTTCGTCGTAAAGAAGATCCTTCGCTGTTTTTTCAACGCTTCCCAATTGTCCAACCCTCGTCTTCTACCAGTTAGGACCTCTGGTTCAACATGCCGCAACATATCTTCCAGATCAAAATCAATATCTGCATCGTCTATACTAGAGTCACCGCATTCCGGGATGGTTCCCTGTGACATGTCTTCGATTATAATATTTTACGCATCACCAAAGCAGAAATCATCAGCCTCTTCGTTACGACCACCGACTTCCCCGTGAAAAGTCTATATCTCGTAGAGAGAATCCCTTATATGCCACTAGAATTTGACCAGTTCCCTTATATGCCACTCAAAATTAGCTTCTCCCTTATATGCCACTAGTTCAAGTTTTTCCACCCTTTTATGCCACTCCTACCACTATAGTGTTAGTTGACTGTTAGTCAAAGGTTAGTTTTTTTCGTAAATGACTAATATGCCCTCTCAACTAAAAAATGTGTAAACTTCAAAAAAATCATAACTAATTTATTTTAAATCCTCTTTGAGTGAACAAAATTTTGTCAGGACCAGTGAAAAATGCTCTTTATATTAAAAATATTGTTGGAAAACTGCATGTTTCATACTTACATTGAAAATTTATTTGCGATGGTAATGGCTAAAATTGCACGCGATGTAGAAAAAATCAATTTTCATATGTTGTATCCCGTAGCTATATTAGTACTAAAATACCTATTATTGGTTGTAGACTAATTCTCAAGGGCAAATGCGTCTTTTTACAATCAAGTTAACGGTCAACTGACGGTGGACTGACGGCAATGGCATAAAAGGGAGAAGAAACTTGAACCGGTGGCACAAAAGGGATAAGCCAATTTGAAGTGGCATATAAGGAAGCCGGTTAATTTAGAGTGGCATATAAGAGATTCTCTCTATCTCGTAACCCTTCTTAAATCCTCGCTCTACGATGTGCGACAATACTTAATTCAGATCTTGCAATCTTTGCATGGGCAAAAAATGCCCCTCAAATTCTCCCTCACAGCATGTGCCTTTGCCAGCTCAACGAATTTGCCTGCTTCCTTCAAGAACGTAGGATGAGTTCTTTTTGTGTTGTACATTCATGTCCGATCCATGACCTAGAATACAGCTTGTCATGAATACATCCATGCCCGATTCAAAAATGAGTGTATTTAAACAGAGGGAACTAATCAAATAGTAAATTAAAGTTTTATGGACAATTTAAACGAGCGTACAGAATTTTAACCATTAATATAATATTGTCCATTTCTAAAAAATGAAAAAAAGTCCTTTTATCCGAATGAAAATAAATTTAATGGAGGCAAACCCAACTTTTCAATTTGGATACTAAATACTTTTAAAAACATGTAATGGAAACATTATACATTAGCTAAAATATAAAAAAAACAAAAAGTGCCTACACTATTCCATTTATAAAAGTGCAAGTTTCTTCGAATTGCACCGACGAAAACTTACAAAAATGGAAGCAAATAAAGGAGAAGAACAAGCTCTACACCTTTTATATGGAACCCAATCAAAGATTTGAGGTCGAAAACCTTCCCCCCTAATTTGTGGGTGTTTAGGAGAGAGAAAACACCGACATATATGGCAACGGTCGGGCTGGGGGTTTATATAGCCCCCCGACCATCGCAAGCGGTCACCTTACGTGGGCTGCACGGGTGGCGCCGGTCTTCGGCTTGTTCTAGGCGGAGCTACTTATGGCCCGCCTGGAAGCTATAGGGGCCGGCGTCCAGGAAAATCTCGCGTGTAGTAGTGGCATGTGGCCGATATCGTGAGTACCATTGATATTTATATAAAGTAGCATATTTGTAGTGACATGGATCTAATTAACCCTTTTATTTAACCAATCACTTGTCTTTTTACGCTGATTTTATCGGGGCAAACAGTGGTTGTGTGCTTCGTGCGATGTGGGGAGGAGTGGACTTTTGTCAAGTTTTGGGATATACTCCGATCCTGATGTCCTACATTTTTTAAACCCACATAGTCTAGGAAGAAAATAGCGTGTTTTAGGTGCTCTTTGTCTAGGTTTACAAGCAAATACAGTAAGCCAAAAAATCTAAATCTAAACAACAGCTTTTTCATTTGTTTTTTTTTCTAAAACCATGAGTCACTCTATCACTGTTAAACCAAAAGTTAGTTAGGCCGAAGAAACATTTTTACCTTACGTGAAGTAAAAGTGTGACTCTAACATTAAACTTAAGATTTTTTTTCAGGGATTAAACTTAAGACTTTAAATTCACTAGGTTGTAAATCACATAAGCTAAAAGGATAACTTAAAATTTCTCAAAAAAAGAAAGGATAACTTAAAAGCCTATAAATCAATCTAAACAAAAAAAAAACCCTTAAATAGGTCTCGAGGCAACACGAAGCCTTTGTATCCAGATTTTCCATAAAAGATGCTCTACGGGCCTAAACTTGTGTGCAGATTTCAGCCCAACGTCCGCACGGAGCTTAATTAGTTCCCACCACCCACTTGAGCCGCCGCCGCTATTCATCCATGGAGCCGGCGGCGACGGTAGCAATGGATGGATGGTCGGGGCCTTGCCGAGTGCCGGATGGTGGCGGTGGCCGGAGTCGGAAGAGCGCCGGCGTACGTGGGTGGGGAGTAATTTCTGATCCGTGGATGCACAACCACCGTACGTGCCAGTAACGTATACCGCTCCACTTTGGTGCCTGTTTGGGAAAAGCGCTGCCCCAAAAGTCCACAGTTTCTAAGAATATGTAGTTATATATTCTCAAAAATGAACTAAGAAATTAGAAGCTGAAGGAGCTGGGTTTTCAGAGCTTTTCTAGATTCTCAAAAGCTGGTTACCAAACAGCTGCTTATTAGAATCTAAAGCTCCGTCAAACAGGCGCTTTTATCTCCGCTGTTGAGTACTTCATTTTCAGGTCATCTAATCGCTGGAGTCGTTTGACGATTGCAAGGTACGTACATGTAGGCTCGAGCTAATTAAGCTGCAGCTAGCTAGCCAGCTCAAGCCACTACATACCATTTGAGTGTTCTGGTAGTGATTTTGGAGGATTTCAATTACCAATATTTTTTTTATAGAACCCTGTGGTTCATAGAAAAGGAAAGAACATTTTTTGGTAGGATTGTATTCCGACGGCTTAATTTCGTATAAGAAAATAAGAAAGAAGGTTTGATCTTTTGATGATTTTCATTCCTGTGGGATTAGAGAAGAAAAAAAGTCCATTTTACTGCCCCAAACTAATTCAATGGATCACTTAACTCCCTAAACTATTTTTTAGGCTCATTTTACCCCTTGAACTATTAAAAATGGTTCACTTTACTCCTTAATAACATTTCCTTTTTTTGTTACTTTTTATACAAGTTTTATTTTAAGCTGAAATTTGTTAGAGTAATAGTTGACACCATTACCAAAGTTTAAAAATATTTTGAAATTTTTTTTCATGGTGTTAGCTTGAACTTTAAAATTTTGATGTTTAAATCAGTTTGGAGTGGATTCAACCTATGCAAACAGTGAGGAAAAAAATCATAAAAGAATGTAAGATGTAGGTTGTGGATGCATTTTTATTCTACCAATTTTTCAGTGCAAAATATGACTTATACAATGAGAACTAAAGAAGAGAAATAGCGTTAGGGGAGTGAAGCAAACATTTTTAATAGTTTAGGGTGTAAAATGAGCCAAAATATAGGGTTAAGTGCTTCAGTAAAATAGTTTGGGGGAGTAAAATAAACTTTTTCATTAGAGGAACTCAATATTTCAATTCTTGCGTTATTCTATTTTTTGTGTTTTTCCTGTCCTGTTTTTCACAGATAAACTAAATACTTACAAATATTTGGTATGTCTGCACTGTGCTCTGTGGATCATGTTCTCCGTGATCATCGATCTCTGTCAGGCAAGACGCCAAGAACACATCCACCAAATCTTTGACCCCCGGGAGAGACCATGCCAAGAACCACACTCCCCAACACGGACAGAACACAGAAGATGCCCCTCGGCAACAGCGCGCGGCGCAGCTAAAATAAAATTCCTTATCCCCTTTGTGCTCACATGTGCATTGCATATATGCAGCCTTGCTGCTCGCCTGCAATGCAAGTATGCAACCTGTGATCCTCCTCCTCTTCTCAGTCAGAGGTGAGCCCCCTCCTGTGACCCCTCCAATGCCGTTCACATGATCTCACTCTCTCTCGCTCTCACTGTCGCACACATTGAGCAGTGTGACTCAGTGAGCCACCTCTGCCTTTTTACATGACCATGCTGCTCTTGTCCTAGCTGCACATTTCACACTTCACATGGCAACAGAAGCAGCAGCAACAGCAAGATGTCTTCTTCTTCCTCTTCTTTCTCCTCTCCAATCTCCACACAAGCAGCAGCAACTCATCTTTGCTGCTCTTCTCCTTCTCTTCTTCTTCTCTTCACTCCAGAGTTTGCACTGCTATGCTGCTGCTGGTTACAATGAGCAGCAGGAAGCTGATAGGGTGGCCTTCCTCCCCGGGCAGCCAAGCAGCCCGAAGGTCTCTCAGTTCTCAGGCTACATCACTGTGAACAGGCAGAATGGCAGGGCACTCTTCTACTGGTTCTTTGAGGCCCAGGCACTGCCCTCTCAGAAGCCTCTCCTGCTCTGGCTCAATGGAGGTTGTGCAATAATGTCTGAATCATTTACTTCTGCAATAGAAATGTGAACTTTTTGGTACACATTTGTTACATGAGTGCATATGTGCATGCAGGGCCAGGTTGCTCATCAGTTGGATATGGAGCTGCCTCTGAACTAGGGCCCCTCAGAGTTAGCAGAAATGGAGCTGGGCTTGAGTTCAACAAATTTGCATGGAACAAAGGTTGTGCAAAAACTAAGCATTTTTGTTTCTTATAATTGTTCCAATTGGTTTGAGCAAATTAATAAAATGCTATACGCATGTCACTGTTTTTCACATTGTTCTTGCCAGAGGCCAATTTGCTGTTCTTGGAGTCCCCAGTTGGGGTTGGCTTCTCCTACACCAACACATCCTCTGACCTCACCAAACTGAATGATGGTTTTGTAGGTAATTCAGTATTGTTATTGGTAAAGTATATTTTTCTTGACCATTGTTTGTCACATTTGAGATGTTTTTGGCGCCTTCCTTCCTTGTAGCCGAGGACGCATATAATTTCCTGGTAAATTGGTTGGACAGATTTCCACAGTACAAAGACCATGAATTCTATATTTCAGGAGAGAGCTATGCAGGTAATTCTTCACATGAACATGAAAGTCGTCTCTTGCCCCCTTGGCCTTCTTTTTGTTGTTTTGATTAGAACAACCAACCTTGAAATTGTAGCCTACATGTCTGAAAAGGTTCAGGAAATGATGCTAATGCATCAAATTCAGATTATAGTTGACCTTTCCAATTAGGAATTTATTAGTAATACTTGTATCTATTCCGTAATAACCATGAATTGGCTTTGAGATAAACTAATTCAAATTTTTACTAGATTTGAGCCAATAGTTCAGATTATGCATATAAGATAGTTTGCTGAGCCCTAATATGTCTACTACAAGTTTCTAGAAGTTCAAAATTTTAGTTGCAGGTAATATAGTGATCTGTCCTGTAACCATAAAAAAAAAGCATATTTAGGTGCTTAGGAAGAAGGATATCATAATCCGTGAAAATAGAAGCAAAGTGAATATGTCCTGGTTAACATCATGACTTGACATCATTTTCATACTATTTAGATATGAAGGCGTGTCCTCATTTTCCAAAATGAAATGTTTCATTCCTGCAAGATCCTCATCCCATTGAGCACTACTAGTGGTATTGACTGGTCATACTAGAATTATGTGATATCTCATATGCGGTAGTAAAAAAGATGCCCTATAATTCCTTTTCCCTGTACATCACCAACAAGAATTTTCGAATTAATGCAGGTCACTATGTGCCACAGCTTGCAGACCTTGTCTATGAGAGGAACAAAGACAAGAAGGCCAACAGATATATCAAACTGAAAGGGTTCATTGTGAGTACATCCATTCACTGATTAGTTTGCCAGTATTGCTGGTTTGGCTTCATTCTTTCATATTTCAAAACTGGATGGCAATATTATTTGGTAAAGTCCATTTTAATGGACTCAAAAACTCTTCGTTAAGAATCCGAGAGCTGAAAGTACATTTCACCTATAATATTTTAGCAACATATTGACAGTAATGATGATGCTTTTTCTAGATAATGGTCTTTAATTTAGATAAAAATCAGTGGAACATCAGAAAAGAGTATTTCATCTATTATTGAAGGTCCAACAGGAAAAATAAAATCTTGCAGTTCTCGAAATAAGTTCTAAACTTTCTGGAATCATAACATTGGTACTTGGGCCCAAATACAGGTTGGTAATCCACTTACTGATGATCAGTACGACTCAAAAGGTCTTGTTGAATATGCTTGGAGCCACGCAGTTGTGTCAGATGGAATTTATGAGCGCGTCAAGAAGGTGTGCAACTTCAAGATCTCAAACTGGACGAATGATTGCAATGAAGCCATGAGTAGTATTTTCAGACAATACCAAGAGATTGACATCTACAATATCTATGCACCCAAGTGCAATCTTGCTCAAACATCAAGAGTAGCTGCTTTCGATCACGCACTCGAAGCAAGCGATCAGGTTGATGACAAATAGTTCAAATTAGTTCTGCTTCTGAAATTCTAAGGCTTGTTGTTTGACTTGGTAGGAACAATTCAGTAGGAGGATTAGGATGTTCTCAGGATATGACGCGTGCTACTCATCATATGCTGAGAAGTACTTCAACAAGCCAGACGTGCAGAAAGCATTCCATGCAAATGCAAATGGGATGCTCCCTGGAAAATGGAAGGTTTGCAGGTGAATTGGCTTCTTTTCTTTCTTTTTTTTTAACTTAAGAATCGGCTTAAATTTCTTCCACTAAAAATATTTAGAGTGGCAACTGTAGATTTGTTAAACTCTTAAAATTTTATATTTTCTTTTAAATCTGAAGTCCTTCTCTATTGCATATTCAGCTATACATATACGAGGGGCATATATGGACCCTTTTTGGGCCTAGAACCACACACACATGTACACAGCCCACACCCACAAATATACACTGCCCAACAGTCCCCCTCAAGATGGGCGATAAATATCTATCATGCCCATCTCGCTACATGACGACATACACTATTTAACACCTAAAGCCTTCGTTAAACAATCAACCACTTGTTCTCTAGAATTCACAAAGTTTAACTTCAAGGTTTTGTCATCTATCCTTTCTTTAATAAAGAAGCGATCGGTCTCCACATGTTTTGTTCGATCATGTTGGACTGAATTGTTAGCAATATTAATGGCTGATTTGCTGTCGCACCATAACTTCATGGGAATGTTTATCATCAACTTCAATTCAGTTAGAAGATCTCTTACCCATAACAACTCGCTCAAACTAATCGACATTGACTTGTATTCTGCCTCAGCAGTTGAACGAGACACCACCAATTGTTTCTTGCTTCTCCAAGATACTAAATTGCCACGAACAAATACACAATAGCCTGATATTGACCTTCTATCATCAAGACAGTTGCCCTGATCTGCATCACAGTATCCCTCCACATCAAGATGTCAATTTTCTTGAACCATAAGCCCTTACCTAGGCTTCCCTTCAAATATCTCAAAATTCTATACACAGCATCCATGTGACCACTTCTAGGATCTGTTACGAATCTGCTTGCGAGTTTGGGAATTTAGGATTAGAGGAGCAGATTCGAACAGAGAGAAAGGGGTAGGAGGAAGGGGAAGAACAGAAGAGAGAACTTGGAGCAGGGGAAGATGCAGTAGTTAGGGAGGAATAGTTTTCTGTTCACTTGTTCGATGCCTTTTCCCCTCTGCTCACTCGTGCTTATATACTCGCACGTTTACATTCTGGACCTAAGCCCATTCCGGCCCAGTTACTCTCACATTAGGCCTGCGTACTCTTGCTGGTCGCGTCTTCATTGGATTACTTGCCGTGAGTAATGTCGGACCTGGTACAGTACCGGTGACATTCCCCTCTTCTTCAGAAACGGCTTGTCCCCAAGCCGGTGCTTCAGGGAAACGCGCACGCAGTGCAGCACCATCCTCCCAGGTTGCTTCAGCGGACGTCTGACCAGACCAACGAATCTTGAGTTGTTCCACAGCTCCAGCGCCTTTCTTGACTGCACGACGAGCAAGAATTTGAACTGGTAGCGCTTCATCTTCAGTTAACGCTGGCAGGTCTTGAATCGACGAGTCAGGAGCTGGTGAAGAAGCCTGACAGAGCTGTGAGACATGTACTACTGGATGAATAGCACAAGTTGTCGGTAGTTGCAGGCGATAAGCCACGCTTCCAATGCGCGCCAAGATCTGAAAGGGACCAAAATAACGGAAAGCCAATTTGTGATTAGAACGTCCTGTCAAGGAGAACTGAGCATGCGGCTGTGCCTTCAGGAACACCCAGTCACCAACTTCAAACTCACGATCAGAACGTTTCTTGTCAGCCTGGAACTTCATACGTTGCTGAGCTCGTAACAGATGTTGTCGCAGCAAACTGGTAATCACTTCCCGTTCCTTCAGCCAGTCTTGCAAATCTGGAACAGCACACTCAAAGCGATCGAGCACACCAAAATGCCGAGGAGAATGACCATATAATACCTCAAATGGTGATTTGTCCAGAGCCGAATGGAAGGCAGTATTGTACCAGAATTCCGCCAAAGCGAGCCAACGATACCACCTCTTAGGGCAAGCGTGCACAAAGCATCTCAAAAAGGTTTCCAAGCACTGATTTACCCATTCGGTTTGGCCGTCCGTTTGAGGATGGACTGTTTGCCAAGCATGCTTGGGCACTGGAAGAGGCTGTAAGAAACCTGGGTACCGAACCCGTTCTGCTTTGGCCTGTTTACAGATGGAACAAGCCGACACAAACTGGCGCACAGCTTTTCTGAGTCCAGGCCAAGCAAATAACTTATTCACTCGACTGAAGGTTGCCTGAGTACCAGAATGACCCCCAATTGCTGCATTGTGCAGTGCAGTCAGAACCTTAGTCTGTAACTCCACATTGTTACCCAACCAAATCCTTCCCTTATGGTAGATAATGCCATTCTGTAATCTGTACTCAGGGAGCGCCTCTGGACTTAACGAGAGCTTAGTCAACAGTTGAGAGGAAACTTGATCCTGAGCATATCCCAGCTGCACATCTGCCAACCAAACTGGAATACAGGAAGACACCGCACTGAGTTGAAACACATCGGTTGACTGATTGCGTGACAAAGCATCGGCGGCTTTATTTTCCAGTCCCTTCTTATAGACAATTCTTCTTATAGACAATTCTGTATTGTAAACCAAGCAGTTTGGTCAGAGCACGCTGTTGCCAAGGTGTTACTAATCTTTGATCATCCAAATGAATCAAACTGCGCTGGTCAGTACGGATTATAAACTCTCCAAACTGCAAGTAAGAGCGCCATTGTTCCACAGCGAGAAGAATCGCCAAGCACTCCTTCTCGTAAGTGGACAGCCCTTGATTTCGAGGCCCCAAAGATTTACTGAGAAAGGCTAACGGATGACCAGCTTGCATCAGCACAGCGCCAACACCCTTATCACACGCATCAGTCTCAATTTCAAAAACTTTGGAGAAATCCGGTAGTGCTAGGACAGGAGCCGAAACTAGAGCTTCCTTCAAGGCATCAAAAGACGCTTGATGCTCCGACGTCCAAACAAACACCACATTCTTCTTGAGCAGATCAGTAAGGGGCCTGCTGATAATACCAAAAGAGCGTACAAACTTCCGATAGTACCCCGCAAGACCCAAAAATCCTCGCACTTCCTTCACATTACAGGGTACTGCCCAGTTGCGCACCGCTTGAATATTCTTTGAGTCAGTGGCCACACCTTCTGCACTAATAACATGCCCAAGATATGTTAGACTTGCACGGGCGAACGAGCATTTGCTTCTCTTGACCTTAAGTTGATGATCAGTTAGCAATTGAAACACCCGTCGCAGCAAGGCTACATGGTCGTCCAAATTTTGACTATAGATTAAGATGTCATCTATAAACACCAACACTCCTTTGCGAAGCAATGGAGCTAAGATCTGATTCATCAATCCTTGGAAGGTAGCCGGGGCTCCGGTAAGGCCGTAGGACATAACCCTGAATTCGTAGTGTCCATTGTGCGTCTTAAACGCTGTTTTGTGCTCATCTTCTGGGCGCATCCGGATCTGATGATAGCCAGCTCTTAAATCCAAACTCGTGAATAAACAGGAGCCCGCCAATTCATCAAGCAACTCATCGATAATTGGCAAAGGGTAGCGATTCTTGACTGTAATTGCATTAAGGTGGCGGTAGTCAATACAGAATCGCCAAGTAAGGTCCTTCTTAAGCACCAGCAGAACAGGTGATGAAAAAGGACTAGAGCTGGGTTGTATGATTCCCTGTTGGAGCATATCCGCAACTTGCCGTTCAATCTCATCTTTTTGAGCTGGATTATATCGATAAGGTCGCAAGTTAACAGGTTTTGCTCCTGGCAGTAAAGGAATTGAATGGTCAAAGACCCTGGCCGGTGGTAAACCTTGTGGCTCATCAAAGACATGAACAAATTCTTTCAACAACTGGTCGACAGCCTGAGGTACTTCTGTATTTGTTGTTTCCTTGATCAGAGAACACAACTCAACCACTTGCATCACAGCTTCCCGATGAATCAGTCCTTGAACTTGATTGACAGATAGAGATGTACAGCTGCTAATATCAGCTCTAACACCTCGCAAACAAACATCCTTTTGTGCATGTTTAAATCTCAGAGTCTTAGCCCTCCAATCAATTTGCATAGGACTGTGTTGCTCAAGCCAATCCATTCCAAGTATTACGTCATAACTTCCAAGAGGTAACACTTTCAGGTTGTTCTGAAAAGAAACACCCTGAACCAGCCAAAGACAATTCTGCATTTCTTTGTTACATTGGAGTATTCCCCCATCAGCAACCCGAACTCGAAAAGATTGCACAGTTTTCTGATTGCCTCTTATCTTGCCTGCCATTTCTTCAGATATAAAGCTATGAGTGCTGCCAGAGTCTACAAGCATCATTATCTCATACTGTTGTATTAATCCTTGCAGCCTCAAAGTTCCAGAAGATTCAGTCCCTAGCATAGCTTCTTTAGAAATCTGACAGACTTCGCTAACAGTTTCAGAAGCCCTTTCTGTCAGCTCATCAGTTCCAGCGGATTTGGTTTCCCCATCCGATTCCTCAAGCAGGTCGAGTAACTCCTCCACAACATGTAACTGCACAGTTGGCCCACACTTATGTTCCCTACTCCATTTTTCCCCACAAGTGTGACACAATCCCTTAGCCTTGCGATAAGCACATAGTGCTGCCACTCGATCCTCCAGAGGCTGAGTTCTGTCATCAACTCGCCCACCAGCTCGCCCAGGAGTGAAAGCAACATTCCCCACAGTACGCTGTCCGACCCGATGAGAAAAACCTCCATCAATCCGACGCGAATCCCGTCGTCCCGCTTCCAACACCTCTTCCTGTAAACAAGCAAGGTCCACAGCAGTATCCAAATCGTTTGGACGATGTAAAATTACGGCTGCGCGAACTTCAGGTTTCAGTCCATCAAGGAATTCAGTAATGAAGAATACTGAATTCCAGGATGGATGATGAGCATAGAGTTGATGCATCAGCTCATTGAATTTTTCTGCATAACTAAGAACGGTTCCCTCCTGCCTAAGCCTCTTGAACTGTCTAATGAGACTCTGAAATTCCTCCCTCCCGAACTTAGCACAAACAGCCTCCGAGAAATCATTCCACCCCATCAATTCCACATGAGCATTGGTGGATTGCAACCACACTAGAGCACTCCCCGAAAATTGCAAAGCAGCAACCCCAACCCACACATCCGGGCTAATCCCACTTACTCGGAAATAAGTTTCGCATTTCATTTTCCAGGCTCTAGGGTTCTCTCCTTCAAATTGTGGGCAATCTACTCTAGCATTACCCCCATGGAATCCCTTGGCCGGGAGAGACGTTGGAGAGAAATCATCTCCAGACGCCTTCCCCCGATTCATCGTTGCAACGTTGCGGCCTCACGGCCCTGAACTCGCGTCCGCCCCTTTGGAGGCCGTCTCCTCCTCCTTCGGCACCGTCGGCGTGGGTAGAAGAGGGGGCAGATCCGCTGGCTTGACGGCGAGAATTGGATTGCGGGATATCCGCTCCACTTGCTGGCGCAGGTCGCCGAGGTCGTCCCGCATCTCCGTCATGGCCTTGTCCACCGCCGGTTTCCAGCTCGCGAGCTCCACCACCATAGGCTTGATTTCCTCCAAGGATCCCATCGAAGCTTGGATGGCGGTATTCTGCTTCTGGATTGTCGCCATGGCCGCCGCGAGTTCCGCCAATTGTTGCTCCATCTCTTGGGACTTGAGTTGCGCACGGGAATAGTATCTAGGTTTGTCGAGGTACTCCAGGATGGATGGCTCTGATACCTATTGTTACGAATCTGCTTGCGAGTTTGGGAATTTAGGATTAGAGGAGCAGATTCGAACAGAGAGAAAGGGGTAGGAGGAAGGGGAAGAACAGAAGAGAGAACTTGGAGCAGGGGAAGATGCAGTAGTTAGGGAGGAATAGTTTTCTGTTCACTTGTTCGATGCCTTTTCCCCTCTGCTCACTCGTGCTTATATACTCGCACGTTTACATTCTGGACCTAAGCCCATTCCGGCCCAGTTACTCTCACATTAGGCCTGCGTACTCTTGCTGGTCGCGTCTTCATTGGATTACTTGCCGTGAGTAATGTCGGACCTGGTACAGTACCGGTGACAGGATTATGCATATACTGACTTATCACACTTACAGCATGGGTTATATCAGGTCTTGTATGACACAAGTATATCACCTGTCCCACAAGTCTTTGATAACTCTCTTTATTTACTGGGTCTCCTAATTCAGCACACAACTTATGGTTTTGTTCAATTTGTGTAGAGGCTGGTCGACAACCAAGCATACCTGTGTCACTGAGTAGATCTAACGCATACTTTCATTGTGAAAGTACTATCCCTCTAGGAGATCTTGCAATCTCAATGCCTAAGTATTTCAGCTGACCCAAATTCTTAAGTTCAAATTCCTTACTTAGATTTTCTTTTAATCTTGCTATCTCTATAGAATCATCCCCAATGATAATCATGTCATCCACATACACGGCAAAGATAGTAGCGTGACATCCCTTATGATGATAGAATGATGTATGATCCCCATTACATTGCTTATAACCCATGCCACATATTCATAGTGAAAAAAACGTGACCGGTAGATGACCCGGTCACCATGCTGGTTCACTGGTTTCACGGTTCAACCGTGAACCGGTCGGTCGAACCGCAGTTTACTAAGTACATGTAATATATATGTAATATATGTATTTCTGTACTGTCACATACATTTGGATGGTAGGATGGCTACGGGAGTTGGCTTGTAACCGATCGACTCGGGGTCGACTCCCCACCAGTGCACATTTCCTTCGATTTTTGCTAAAAAAATCAAGCCTGTGGACATGTATGGCCCAAAACACACTAACTCGGCCCAGTTTGTCTTAGTCCGATCCGACCAAAGACGGTTTTATGCCTGGTTCATCGCAAAACCGGCTAGTTTAGGCGGTTGAAAGTGGTTCAAATGCATGTCCGGTCTTTCTATTCGACCGAACCGTGCCAACCTCCAGTTCCGGTTGAACCGCCGATCCGGTCCGGTTTTTTACACTAGGCACGCATTACACGTTGAAAACAATCAAACCATTCTCCTGGTGATTGTTTGAGACCATATAAAGATTTCTTCAACCTCAACACTTTTTTCCTTCAGTTTGTGAAGTGCTAAATCCAGGTGGGATATCCATATACACCACTTCTTGAAGGTCTCCATGTAAAAATGCATTTTTGACATCTAATTGATGCAGTGACCAATCAAAATTAGTTGTACAAGTTTCATCATAATCAATTCCATATGTTTGACTATACCCCTTAGCAACAAGCCTTGCTTTCTACCTTTCCTTCTTTCCATTAAGGTTTTGCTTTATTGTATATACCCACTTACAGTTGACAACTTTCTTCCCTTCAGGAAATGGTACAAGATTCCATGTTTTGTTCTTCTCAAGAGCCTCTAGATCATCCAGCATAGTTTGATGTCATTTTGGATCTTGCTTTGCTTCTCTCCAATTCTTTAGAATTCCCACTAAATCTACCGATGCTACAAAGGCCTTATATGTAGATGACAAAGAGTCATAAGAAATATAGTTGGATATGTTATTCTCATCATTACCCTCATCTTGAGCTTCAAAACCATATCTTAGGGAGGTTTACCTACATTGCTTTTTACACCCTTTCTGACGGCAATTGGTAAGTTAGATTCTTCTTCTCTAACTTCATCCTCTTCTCCCCCTAACTCCAAAGGCACTTGCACATGACTTGCATCTCCCACTACTTAATTATCCTCTACAACTTATTGGATCACTGGAAATCTTGCCCTCCTTTTGTAAACTTGAAGATTTTCCTCTTCATGTGGCTTTCTCAACTCTTGCTCTTATATAGGATCATTCATATCAACTGGGATTTGGCCAATCACAACTTTTTTCTCCTTCGCTTGTTCATCTTCCTTGGAACCCATTATTTTATCCTCCCTTTGTTTATCATGATTACACTAGTTGAATTATCAAGATCAACAAAAAAAAGAACTTAAATCTATTTTCTCATCATAAAATGGAACAAATTCTCTAAAAGTAACATCCGTACTTACAAATGTTCATTGTTCTGATGGACTCCAACACTTATACCCCTTCTGGCCAGAGGAATAACCTATGAAGATCAAGTTTTGCAACAGAAGGTCTGTTGTTTCTGACAAAGCATGTGCAACCAAACACCTTTGGTGGAAGAACAAATACATTCTTGTGAAATATCATCTCATATGGTGTCTTCATCCCAAGTATTCCCGATGGTGTACGATTGATAAGATATGTTGCTGCCATTACAGCCACACTCCACAAGAATTTAGGTACATTCATAGTATACATCAATGAACGAGCTGTCTCCAAATGATGATGATTTTTCTTCTCAGCCACCCCATTTTGTGGAGGAGTATCAGGACAAGAAGTTTGATGTAATATTCCTTCTGATGAAAGAAAGTTACTAAATTCTTATTTATATACTCCCCTCCATTGTCAGTTCTAATAAACTAAACCCGAGCATTAAAATGATTTTTAATGTATGCATAAAAATTCTGAAAACATTTAAGCATAAAAATTCTGGAAGCATTTAAGCACCTCGTCCTTGTGCCTCATAAGATATATCCATGTCATGCGAGAGTAGCAATCAATAAAGGTGACAAAATACTTCATTCCACTCATAGAAACCACAGGTGAGGTCCAAATATCTGAGTGAATTAGCATAAAGGGCAACATACTTCGGAGTCCTCTACTCACATATGACATTTTTGTATGTTTCCCATACTCACAAGCATCACATACTAACTTATGTTTATCCACTCTACTGAACTCTACTGGAAATATTTTACTTATAATTTCAAAAGATATATGTCCCAATCGACAGTGCAAAAATAACACCTTAGCTCTTCTTCACTTGTGGAAGCCATCAAAGCTAGACACATGGCTTCATTAGTCCTTCCCCGATCCAAATACGAAAGTCCATCATGCCTGACACCAATCCCAAGTTTCTTCCCTGTTTGCCTCTCCTGAATTAAACAATTCTCACGATCAAGGGAGACTTGACAGTCCATATGATCAACAAGAAAACTTTTTGAAACCAAATTCACTGGAAAGGAAGAAATATATAACACTGATGATAAAGTGATTGAAGGAGTACACTGCACTGTACCCTCTCCCTTAAGTGGGCATGATGTTCCATCGGCAATTTGAATTGTTTCTTTACGTGTAAATGGGTATGGTTTATATGATGCAAATGCCCCACGCATACTCGTTACATGTGTAATGCACTAGAGTCTAATATCCAATTTGGATAAGAACCATTGATGGACATAAATGCTTGATTTGAATTATCTGAGGTGGAATGAACAAAGTTGGTAACATCAACATTTATAGGTTCAGAAGAACCCCCTTCAAGAGTGACCACATTAGCTTTGTGATCACCTCTGTACTCATAGCCTCTACCTCTGTTATCTCTACTTTCATAACCTCTTCCACCTCTTGCTCCTCCTCTATCACCATTTCTTCCTCTTCCATAACTAGGCTTGTGAGAAGCACGACAATCACACATAAGATGCCCCATTTCACCACAATTAAAGCACTCTCTAGTTTTATTACCTTGTACAATTGCATAGGTGGGACTTGATGAAGACGATGTGGCATAGGAAATAGTTTCTTCTTAAGCTCCTCTTGTGCCATAGTTGCAATAGCCACATCTAAGGTAGGAAGAGTGGTTTGGTGAAACATTGCATCTCTTCTTCCTTTGAACTCCGGATTTAAGCCCTTCAAAAACTCAAGGACCCTTTTACGCTCTACCCATTTCTTCATTTTTGCTATGTAATTAGAATGCTCTAACCCAAGAGGATCATAATAATCTAAATCAAATCACAAACACTTCAACTCTGCGACATATTCTGCCATAGGCGCTCCCCCTGTTTCAAAGCACTTATCTTCTCTTGTGCCACCATCATTAGCATCATATTACCTTCTTCTGAGTATAGATTAGTGAGAGTTTTCCACATCTCACTCGCACTAGAGATGGTCTCAACAGTTGTAGCAATAGCAGGGATTAGTGAGGTCAACTACCACGCTACCACTAAAGAGTTGGTAGTACTTCAAGTTTTCCATTCTACACTTGTGCTCTCAGGCTCCTTCACTTCTCCTATGACATATCCTTCTAACCCCTTTGTCTTTAAAATCAACATTGCTCTCCTTGTCCAACTCAAATAATTTTTGACACCCTCCAACTTAATATCATTTTGCATCAACTCAATTTTTTGTACTGATTCAGCATGAGGAACAATTGCATTGATAGTAGTAGAGGTCTCACTGAGTTTCTTTGCAAGCATATCTACCAATTTTCCCATCACCTGTTCAATTCCTTGATTTTCCCCCATTACAGCAACTACAACTACATCCCTTCTATTTCTTCCCATAACAACAATATCAAGCAAAACATCAGTAGAATAGTTCCAACCTTCCCAAGTGATTGATTTAACCACCGCAGTACAGATCAAGTTACAATGACCAAATTCCTCACCTTCTTAAGTGACCAACAGAACCAAGTGCAGCTCTGCCCCCAAATCTCGTGTGCCCCTTCATTTCTTGTTGTGAGATCTCAACCTAACCTTGCAATAGCAGACAAAAGCTACAGCAGCTACACAGCAAACTAACCCCCCCCCCTTTTTCTTGCAACGGCAACAGCAAAAGCTCACCAAATCCTCGGCCCACACTCCTCTGCTTCCTCCACCAGTGCACCTTGTTGCATGCGCTAGCCTCTACCTGTCCTGCTCCCTCTGGTCGCCGTGAGCCCGTGAGTCCCTGTACTGCCTTCCTGGCCGCCGTCTCCTGCAGCGCCTTTGCGTCCCTCTCGCGACGCTGCTCCAGCGTGAGCCCGTCGTCCCGGCCCTTCACCGCTGGCTTCCGCGCCTGCGCCCTCTGCCTTCCAACGCCTCCACGACGCCGGTGCGCCACACTCCTGTTGGGCTGTGTGTGTGTTGTGGCCCAAGAGGCCCATGTACCGATATGCTTGCATATGTATAGAGTAAGCAATTGACAGAGGGTGTGAAGCTTCCAGAAAAACAATCACAAATGTCTTCATGGTATTAGAGCTTGGTCGCCAGCGACTGCGTCGACACTAAACCCTAGCTGGCGGCGGCTATGGCCAGAGAAGCGCGGCGCACCGGCGGTGTACTTAGGGGTGGGCAGAAAAAGACCGAGACCGAGAAATTCGGTCATCAATTCGGTCCTAGGAGGTGAAAGACCGAATTTTGTTCGGTCAATTCGGTTAGTCTCCTCGGTTAACCGAATAGACCAAAAAGACCGAATTAACAAAAAAAAAGTATAAATACAATCTACAATCCACTAAGTTCAATAGGATTAAACTCTAATTTTCACATCCCTACTTCTTCTAGGCATATAACCTAATAAGAGTTTTTACTCATACGTGCTTACGGATTTTTTTTTGTGATTTTTGTGTTGAAAATTTCCATTATTTCTCTGCATATATGAAAATGTTGCTGAATTTCGGTCAGACCGAGACCGAGACCGAAAAGACCGAGACTGAATTTGTCGGTCCTGACATTTTTGCGTTGAAATTCGGTCTTCACTTTTCAAAGACCGAAATAACCAAAAGGCCGAAGACCGAGACCGAAAATTTCGGTTAGACCGAACGCCCACCCCTAGGTGTACTGGCGTGTGGTGCTGGAGCTCCTGACGAGGAAGAGAGCGTGTTGAGGGTGGAGACAGTGGCAACTATTGTGGTGAGGGAGCAAGGCAGCGACGGTTGCTGTGGTGAGGGAGCGACAGTGTTGACGGTGGAGGCACCGGCAGCTGCTGTGGTTGTGCTTGGAGGAATCCGACATGGAGAGAAGGTGTAGCTAGCTGGAAGCGCCAACGGCGACCGCATGCGCGGAGGGCAAGTTGACGATGGCGTGTGGAGTGAAGGTGCGCTTCTACTGTTGGCGATTGTGTGTGTGGAGAGAAGATGGTGATATTGCTTGCTAGCGTGTAGAGGTGCTGATTGAGAAGGTGCAGCTGCCGCTTGCTGCTTGAGAAAGTGTTGCGGATGCTGCTTGAGAAGGTGAGAATTTTTTCTACTGCTACTGTTGAGAAGGTGAGGATTTGGTCAGATTGAAGTCTCACAGCAATAAAAGAAGGGGAACAGATTAACTTGTGGAGGTGAGAAGAAGGGATATAGCTGCTATTAACTTGCTGTAATGCGGGAAAATCAAGGGATTGAACAGGTGATGGGTAAATTGGTAGATATGCTTGCTAAGAAACTTAGTGAGACCTCTAATACCAGCAATGCGATTGTTTCGCATGCTGAATCAGTAAAAAAATTGAGTTGATGCAAAATGATATTAAATTAGAAGGAGTCAAAAATTATTTGAGTTGGTGAAGGAGAGCATTATTGATCTTGAAGACAAAGGGATTAGAAGGATATGTTACAGGGGAGATAAAGGAGCCTGACAGTACATTAAGTGTTGAGTGGAAGACTTGGAGTACTACCAACTCTTTAATATTAGCGTGGTTGTTAACTTCACTTATCCCTACTGTTACAACAACTGTTGAGACCATCTCTAGTGCAAGTGAGATGTGGAAAACTCTCACTAATTTTTACTCGGGAGAAGGAAATGTGATGCTAATGGTGGAGGCACAAAAGAAGATAAGTGCTTTGAAACAGGGGGAACGTTCTGTTGCAGAATATGTTGCAGAACTGAAGCATTTGTGGTTAGATTTGGATCATTATGATCCTCTTGGGTTAGAACACCCCGTTTGTATAGCAAAAATGAGAAAATGGATTGAGTGCAGAAGGGTCATTGACTTCTTGAAGGGCCTAAATTCGGAGTTTGAAGGGAGAAGAGATGCAATATTTCATCAAACCACTCTTCCTACGTTGATGAGGCTATTGCAACTATGGCACATGGGGAGCTTAAGAAGAAAGTATTGCCTAGTGTCACACCATCTTCACCAAATCCCACATATGTAGTTGCACAAAGTAAAAAGATCAGGGAGTGCTTCAATTGTGGTGAGATGGGACACCTTATGCGTGATTGTCGTGCTCCACACAAGCCTAGTTATGGGAGAGGAAGATATGGTGATAAGGGCGGGGCAAGAGGTGGAAGAGGTCATGCGGGTAGAGGTAACAGAGGTAGAGGCTATGAGTATAGAGGTGATCACAAAGCTAATGTAGTCACTCTTGAAGAGGGTTCTTCTAGACCTACAAATGTTGATGTTGCCAACCTTGTTCATTCCACTTCACATAACTCAAACCAAGCATTTATGTCCATCAATAGATCTCTTTCAAATTGGATACTAGACTCGGGTGTATCCAGACATGTCACGGGTATGTGTGGAGAATTTGCATCATATAAACCATACCCATTTACATGAAAAGAAAGAATTCAAACGGCTGATGGAACATCATGCCCAGTTAAAGGAGAGGGTACAGTGCAGTGTACTCCTTCAATCACTTTATCATCAGTGTTATATATTCCTTCCTTTCCAGTGAATTTGGTTTCAAAAAGTTTTCTTGTTGATCATATGGACTGTTGGGTCTCTTGATCGTGAGAATTGTTTAATTCAGGAGAGGCAAACAGGGAAGAAACTTGGGATTGGCATCAGTCGTGATGGACTTTGGTACTTGGATCGAAAGGGGACAAGTGAAGATGTATGTCTTGCATTGATGGCTTCCACAAGTGAAGAAGAGACTAAGGTATTACTTCTACATTGTCGACTGAGGCATATATCTTTTGAAACTATGAGTAAGATGTTCCGGCAGAACTGAGTAGATTGGATAAACATAAGTTAGTATGTGATGCATGTGAGTATGGGAAACATACAAGAACATCATATGTGAGTAGGGGACTCCGAAGTATATTGCCTTATATGTTGATTCACTCAAATGTATGGATCTCACCCGTAGTCTCTGTGAGTGGAATGAAGTATTTTGTTACATTTATTGATTGCTACTCTCGCATGTCATGGTTATATCTTATGAGGCATAAGAATGAGGTGCTTAAATGTTTCCAGAACTTTTATACATATATTAAAAATCATTTTAATGCTAAGATTCAGTTTATCAGAACTGATAATGTAGGGGAGTATCTGAATAGTGAATTTGGTAGACTTCTTTCATTGGAAGGAATATTACATCAGACTTCTTGGCCTGATACCCCTCTGCAAAATGGTGTCACTGAAAGGAAAAATCGTCGTATTTTGGAGATAACTCGTTCATTAATGTATGCTATGAATGTACCTAAATTTCTGTGGAGCGAGGCAATAATGACGACAACTTATCTTATCAACCGCACATCATCAAGGATACTTGGAATGAATACACCATGTGAGATGATATTGGGAAAGAATGAATTTATTGTTCCACAGCTGCACTTGCTTTGTTAGAGATCATAGACCTTCTGTTGGAAAACTTGATCCTCGAGCTGTCAAATGCTTCTTTATATGCTATTCATCTGGCCAGAAGGGGTATAAGTGTTGGAGTCCATCAGAACGACGAACCTTTGTAAGTATGGATGTTACTTTTAGAGAATCTATCTCATTTTATGGTGAGAAGACATATTTAAGTTCTTTATTCATTGATCTTGATAATTCAACTAGTGGTCATGATAGTCAACAAATGGAAGGTGAAATCTTGGGTCCAAAGGGACATAAACTATCAAAGAAAGAAAAGTTTGTGGTTGGTTCAATTCCATGTCCTATGAGTAGTCCTATTGCACAAGAGCAAGAATGGAGTAAGCCATATGAAGAGGAAAATCTTCAAGTTTACACAAGTATAACAAGGTCTCCAATAATCCAACAAGTTGAAGAGGATAATCAGGTAGTGGAAGATGTAAGTCATGAGTAAGGGACTTTGGAGTCAGGGGGAGGAGACGAAGAAGTTAGAGAAGAATTTAACTTACCAATTACCGTCAGAAAGGGTGTAAGAAGCAATACAGGGAAACCTCCACTAAGGTATGGTTTTGAAGCTCAAGATGAGGGTGATGATGAGAATAACATATCCAACTATGTTTCTTATGACTCTTTATCATCTACATATAAGGCCTTTGTAGCATCACTAGATCCAATGCAAAGTCCAAACGATTGGAGAGAAGCAAAACAAGATCCAAGGTGGCATCAAGCTATGCTAGATGAACTAGAGGCTCTTAAAAAGAACAAAACATGGAATCTTGTACCATTTCCTAAAGGTTGTATGTGTGTTGTGGCCCAAGAGACCCATGTACCCATATGCTTGTATATGTACAGAGTAAACAATTGAGAGAGGGTATGAAGCTTCTAGAAAAACAATCACAAATGTCTTCAGCTCGTCCGGCCGCAGCGCCACTGCTGATATTTCTTAACGATATTACTAGAAATATAATTCCCAGCAATGGCGCTATAAATATTCTCGGCCTAGAACCACACACACATGTACACAGCCCACACACACACATATACACAGCCCAACAAAATCTAACAGTAGTTGCAACTCTAAATGAAATTCTATCTACACTTAACAGTTCAATACACTATTGTCGTAAATCATACATTTTTATTCTGATATTTAGCCATCTTTGTGAATATTAGGCTAAGTAGACATTAATATTTATTTGAATTGTTTAATTTTTGATTTATCATGCAGTGACTCCATTCTAAGGTCATACAACTTTTCGGTGCTTTCTGTCTTGCCAATCTATTCGAAGCTCATCAAAGCAGGACTCAGAATTTGGCTCTACAGGTGTGTTTCCTCTTCCTGTACCTTTAGACCATTTTCCTGTTCCAAATACATGCAGACATGAACATTTTCATCACCTATCCAAGCAAGCATATTTTCCCCTGATAACACTTCTTAAAACTTATCAGAAATATAACGCTGCTTCTATCTGAATTTTAATCCTTCAAAACAGCTGCTAAATAGTGCTGGGAAGTTTAATACGAGTAAGATTGTTTTGCATTTAGTGGAGATGCCGACGGTAGGGTCCCAGTGATCGGGTCAAGGTACTGCGTGGAAGCGCTTGGGCTGCATATCAAGAGGGACTGGCAACCTTGGTACCTGAACAGACAGGTCTGAATTTTTGAACTATCATCAGTGATGTTACATTCTAGTAGCAATGTAGCACTGATGTAGTTAGTCAAGTTAGTTGATGGATGTGAATCTGTATTCTAGTAGCAGTGTAGCACTGATCTGGAAATCACTTGCAATATAGGTTGCAGGAAGATTTGTGGAGTACGATGGCATGACCATGGTGACGATTAGAGGTGCTGGACATTTGGTACCCCTTAATAAACCTGAAGAAGGGCTCACTCTGATTGACACATTTCTTCTTGGTAAACAGCTCTTAACACACCGATGAAAGGTAAATTTAGGTTAAAAGGAAGTTGGGACTATTTGTCCTAAAAGTTGCTCAATGAGTGTCAACCATTATTGTTTGAGAAAGAAGTGTCAACCATTATTCCAGGAGCCATGGCATAGCTGAAATTATTCCTTTTAAGGGACAGTTTGAATTTCAGTCTGATCCTTTTGAATGCTGCTGTTGCATTCTTTCACTTCTTTCTATCCAGCCTGAAGCTCTTGGTAACTTTTGTTGGTAAAGCATCTCAAGTCTCAAGCAATTACATTGATAAGATTGTGCTAAACATTCAAAGAATTAACAAGGGCAAGTTCTAGTCTTTGTTTGAAAATATAGGGTTGAAATTATCATTCTCAACATAAAACTCAAACATAAGGAAAATATACAGATTAATGTATAGGGTGGCATCTAGTTGACACAGACAATTGCATACATGAAGAGCCTACAATACATGTATTGTTTCATCTATGTATGATAATATCGATGACTTATTCCTTCTTTATTTTTATGTGTAAGTTTTATCTGGGTTGTATCATCGGTTGTTTTTTGTTGGTAGTCGCCTGCCTGAAAGAAAGGAATTGATTACCACCAGTGCCTGTTCTGGCTTGTCTTGTGGCACTGCATGTCCAGCTCCTCTTACTGTGGCCATTGTCAATCCTTGATACTCAACAAATCTCCCAGCAACCTACATTGGATTTGCATAGGTGAAGAAATTGTGCAATATTACAAATTGTAATTCATAATTTTACACTTTATTTTGATTAATACACGTAGATGACACGGAATATGTAATAGGGTAACAACCTGATTGTTTAGGTACCATGGTTGCCACTGTGACTTAACAGGAAGGCCAAGGGCTTCTACGCAGTACCGGGATCCAATAACTGGAACCCTGCCATCCACGTCTCCACTGTAAAATCAAATTGATAATTCCCTCGTGTTGGTCCCAAATTTTGTGATGACTTTGATGAATTCGAAATTATACAGAATTTAGTGAGCATAAGTAAAAGCAGGTCCTGAATGTAAGTATGAGTCTACTTGAGTGGCACTTAAAAAATCACTAAACCAACTCATGACAGTCAAAGGCAGGGAAATGAAACAAACTTTTTTGAAAGCATGATGAAGAAAAAATGAGATATAAGGGCAATTGTCCCTTATAGATAATGTAGTTTGTAGCATAACATAATATCTTGATCAAATTCTTAAGGCAAACTAGTATGCAAGAACCAAACCTGTAGACCCATATTCGTAGGCCAGCCTTGATAAGCTTAGAGTAAATAGGAAGAACAGAGAAGACCGTGATGTCGTAATTGTCGAATATTGAATAACTGCAAATGTATGGAGGATGTCATTTCTTCTATCCATTTAGTATATCTGATCAATCAGAAATTCACAAGGAAGCTCATGCATATATGACCTGCAGATACTCCATTTTCTGTCCTTGATCAATCCACTCGTATTCGCATGAAGTGATTTCTGCACATCCATCTTGTTCATGTAATCTTCGATATGTGACGAATAGCACGGATCATACCCTGAGTACATCCTCGTGCCTTTAAGCCTCTTCTGAAATTTGCATTCAATTATCTTCAGTTCATTCTGTTTTCATATTTGCTACAGTACAAATACTAGTTGTTAAGCATTACAGTTACCTTAGCATTCATATCAGCTGTACTGTAGGAGGTGGAAAAGAGGGATGAGTCATCAGTGTTGCACTTAGGTGCATACACATTGAAAATATCGATCATATCGTACTGATCATATATGTATCCCATTACATGGTTACACTCATTGCTACGGGGTGATAACCTGAAGTCGCAAACATTGTTGACATGCTTATAGAGTTGATCTGAGATCACTGAGTGACTCCAAGCGAACTCAACTAGTCCCTTGTAGTCATAGTAATCATCAGTCTCTGCATTGCCAACCTGCAAAATATTGTTGGCATTTGTGATTGGATCATTGACAGTTTGTTTTGGGAGAGCATACTGAATGCATAATATGCTTAAATTGAATGGTATGAATGAGGAAATGAAAGTATTATAAGATAAAAGAATTGCTTGTCAGCGTTTCAAACTAGAACAACTCAATAAACAGAGATCCAGCAAAGCCCACAAATACACAATCATTCATAAACATGTTCGAGGAAATAGCACTCACATATAAGGTCTCAAGCTAATTTCCAATATAACATTCTTTCAGCAGAAATCTGATGCCAAAAGAAAATTTGATCAGTTTCATAAGGTACTTACAATAAATCCTTTCAAATTGATATGCTGGTTTGTTTCAACATGCTTGTTGCGCTCATACACTACATCAGCAAGCTGAGGAACATAGTGCCCTGTTGCATCAAAGTTGGTAAGTGTCTTTCCCCACAAAATAAAAAGTTGGTAACTGTCTTATTATTCAAGGTTATGTTTGCATGTTGTGAAACACATTGGATGATGTGGTTTGCAGCATATGCCCTGATACGTGTGTCCACTAGATGGCCACCAATGTTTAAATCTGAGTACTTTTGACCATATAGTTTGTTGAATAAGCCACTCTCTCCTTTGACCCTTGATAGGACTGTTTTGGGTTTAGTGACAGAAGCAAACAAAAAATGAGTATTCCAACCCTAACAAAAGATAGCTGTATTTTTCAACAGAATAACAAACATCAACTTGTTCAGGACCTAATAAAGGTGGTATAGTGGGATCCATGTATTGGTGTGGACTGAAGACTTCAGGGAATAGGATCTGGATGACTACATGTATTCTAGGCTAAACCTTTTGACTAGAGAATATTGAGGAGTGGAAAGATGGTGGATTTATTCCTGTTTTGCATGCTTACACTACTCATTAATTAACAAAAGGTGAAAATCCGGTATCTTTTTCTTTTTCTTGTGGGCTTATTCAACTTTTCTATATTTTTGTTGGAAGAAAGGGAGCTGTCTGCACAATACCTGCATAGCTCTCTCCAGAGATGTAGAAGTCATGGTTTTTGTACTGAGGAAACCTCTTGAACCAATTCACCAAGAAATTGTAGGTGTCCTCAGCTGCGCCGCTCGAAAAATACAGTTAATGAGCACAATAACACAAATTTTTCAGACTTTAAGGGAGGTAAGTTGAAGATCCTGAGACTAGATAAATACCGACAAAACGGTCATCGATGCTCTCTAGGTCAGACGAGGTATTTGTGTAGGAGAAGCCGACTCCAACAGGAGATTCCAAGAACAACAAATTGGCCTCTGAAACATGGAGAGGAACAATTGCAGATTAATTCTGTTAGTCCCACATTGACCGGTAGCAACTTTACACATGACGTGACTTCGGAGTGCAACATGATACGAGCGGTAAAAGATGAACAATAATATCGTACCGTTATTCCATGCAAACTTGTTGAATTCCAAACCTGTTCCATTTCCATTGACCATGAGAGGACCCAATTCAGAAGCTGCTCCATAGCCCACAGATGAGCAACCAGGACCTGAATATGGAAATTCAGTTGAATGGCGATACAAAACAAGAAACAGTGAAAGAAACACACATACAAAAATGACAGGGTAAATATTCTATGACTACTTAGAAAGGACGAACTAAACCATCACACATCAGGTGAATAAACATATATAGCTGCAGACAAATCAAAGTACAACTAATACTTGTTTGCTTGCTACTGATCAATATGAATGAACAATCCATCAAGCAAAGAAATGCATATGCTCAATGCACAAATGACAACAACCTCCATTAAGCCAGAGCAGGAGAGGCTTCTTGGAAGGCAGTGCCTGAGCCTCAAAGAACCAGTAGAAGAGTGCCCTGCCATTCTGGCTGTTCACAGTGATGTAGCCTGAGAACTGAGACATCTGTGGGCTCCTTGGCTGCCCAGGGAGGAAGGCAACCCTATCAGCCTCCTGCTCATCCTCTGCTGTGATTGTCTGCAGCAATGAGAGAGCAAGCAAGATGATGAAGAGTGGATGGTGGCACAGGGATTTGAGCCTTGGTGATGCACAAGAGGCCATAGGATTTTTCTCTTTTTTTTTTTTGTTCTCCTCCTCTTGTTCTGTTCTGCTCTCCTCAGTGAAAGAGAGTGCAGAACTCTCTGTGTCCACTACCAGCTCAGTGTTTGGAGGGGGGAAGAGATATTGCAGCATTTGAACATATATAGCAAGTTGTCATTTGCTGGTATGTGTGGCAATTGAGATACTTTTCTTATGTGCAAGTAAGAAAATCAGTATTGTTCCCTTCAAAAAAGAAAATCAGTATTGTGCTTGTAAAAAGTCCTTGACCGATCAGCTGATAGTGCAGTTAAAAAAATGTTTACCCCACTGTAAATTTGCACTTTCCAGTGTCCACAGAGAAGATAAGTTTATAAAAATTCTCAAAAGAAAAAGGTTTAGCACTTGCGTTGGAGAATATGGTATATATCTTTTCAATATTTTGATATTAACTCAGTTGCATGATTAAAAAAAAGACAAATACATAGCTAAAGCAGTTCGAACACTATTTAAGCATGTATTTATCATTCACGGATTCACTGAAATGCAATTAAGTTCTAACATAGCCCATTTATATTTATTGATTTTCTGAGAACAAAGAATCTTCAAGTTTGAATTTTAACAGACTTTTGCCAATATGCCACCAACTAACCTCACATGATAATAATCCTTTTTGACATTTTCCTTCGTGAGACTATAATTAAGTTCAGTCATGAGCAACATGTGTTCCATTTTGTCGGTCTCTCAAATCTTTAGTATGAATCACAAGCCAATATTAAGTATTGTCTAAAAAAGATTTGAGTGTTTCTTTTCATATTAGTCGAATTTAAGGTCATCATGTTGAAATTCCTTTGTCATCTTCATCGACTTTTTCATCCCCTCTAACTGAATCAATCCCCATTTGGTCGCCACTACTTCCGCCCCTGAATGCCACGATCCCTCGTCACCATTGCCAATGAGGCACGCCAATAGGGTTGTAGGTGGGCTAGCATGCAAAATCATTTCTACAAGCGATATAAGTGAGTTCACGGATTGGCTCACTTATTGGGATACACCCGCACCAATTCTCTAGCTTGTTCTCCACACATGTCATCTCTTCTTGGCACTCCATCCCCACTCCCTACGCTTCAATTCGTTGCCAAACTAAATTTCATTTAGAATTGTTTCCCTCTCCTATCTGAATAATACCTCCATCCCATAATAATTGCATTTCTACCATTCTATTTTTTTCCCGAAAAATTATATTTGTGATAAGATGGGACCCAACAAATGGAATGTGTACCCTCAACCTTCCTTTTAATTAAGTTTACAAATGAAATGTGTGCCTCAACCTTCCTTATATAAGTATAGGTATGGAATATGCGCATGCAGTGCAGTTATTAAATAGGATTACTGTGGTAAATTATGTTTGTTATCAATCTATCTCTATTTTTTAGAAATGCAATTATTATGGGACGGAGGTAAACTAAGGCAGAACTCTTGCCTTTTGTTAAAAAAAATCTATTCAGAAATCATAATATTTATTATAGGCTGGTTTGCCAAAAGGGAAATGTAGCACCTATTTGCTTTGAGACCAGTAGGAGCAATCTGCAAATTGGCTAGATCATGGGCCAGGACAGGAGAAGGCTAAAATCCAGCCGGCTATCTCGGCAAATTGTAGGCAAAATCTTACCAGTTTATGCTACTACTTTACATGCCACCAAGAAGGATCCTGGATTCTGGTCGCTTTTCACATGATTGCTATTGTCGCGAAATGACATCGATTGCACAAATTGGAGCAAAAATAATGCCCTTCACAATGCTCAGCAGTGATTGTCTTGTTCGCAACACTTGATGCCGTTTCTGTTGAGTTGGCTGGGCACCGCCACAGCCACACAGCCAACGACAAAATAAAATTTGTACAAACCAAACTTCTTTCAAAAAAAAAAAGCATGCAAATGGCTATGCAATTTGTACAAACCAAGCTTGTTTTTTTTAAAAAAAACTGTACCTTGTTATGAAGAGAGATTATCGAAAATTGCAGACGCAAATGGCTGCACATCATTGTTATGAAGAGAAAGATTGTAATGTTCAAACGTCATTTTCGTTGGCCCCGGGAAATAATGACGACGGTTGAGACAAATTAGATGTCAAACTGATCAATGCAACTTGTGGCAAATTTGTATGATTTTGAGCTCTCGAGGTTCAGTTTACTGGCAATCTGGCTCAATCGAGATCTTTTGAATTGATAGATGAAGCTGAGATTGGTCACATATCTAAATACGACAAGAAAACAAGATTAGGGTCAATCACAGCCACAACATTTCACCTTAAACAGGAGTACTACAGTACCTGCAAAAGAGTTACTAGAAACTCTAGTAATTATATTCCATAAAGATAGCATCAGGATGGGACTGCCACATCTCGACCAGTAGAAATAGTAAGACAAAAAAAAATTTGGTAAAGAGAAACATCATGGTGGCAGGCAGGATTCAGTACGAAGCACCAAGAAATTCCAGAGACCTGAATTAGAAGCTACACAAAGCATAAAGCAAGCCTCTCATATCTTTCCTCATACAGATGATGTTCTCAAAGAGGCTGTTAATCAAACACATCAGCAGTATGCACTAACGACTAACATGATGGACTGTCTCTCAAGTTTTTGAGCTGCTAAACCTAAACCACAGATGTCCTAAAGCTACAAGCATTTACCAACAATCTTCTCCCCAAGAGGATTATTTTCTTTCTAGCACCCTGCAGAGGACACAACTGACCCCAGATGAGCTGCTCAACTATCGCTTTGAGGGTCTACCATCATCATCATCATCACCATCGTCATCATCATCGTCGTCATCTTCATCGTCGCCACCCGACCTCTTCCTCTTCGACGAGGATTGCGCCTTCGCGGAATCATCATCGCCATCATCGTCCTCATCAATCTCTTCATCCTCGGCACCCTCACCGTTTTCATCTGGCTCGAAGTCACTGGAATGCTCCTCGTCCTCTGCATCACCAAGTGGCTTGACCAGATACTCAGTTCCTAGCTCCTGCAGAAATTTCATCAAAAGCGTGTCATGACTGATTGAGGTGAACGATATTCGGATATTAAGATGCATGGTGAATCTTTAAGCTTAAATTGCCTTCAAGGCAAACTCTAATTTGACTAAACATGAGAATAGAAACAACTTTGGGATCAGACTGACGTGCAAATTTTCATCATTCTGAAAATAAATCCATAAAGGATATCTGAGATGAATTGTTCATCATTTCCCAAACATGATAGATTCAATAAGGTCAGTGGAAGATGAGCAATCAGGGCCTACTTGTATGACAATACCTTGGGAAACAGACCTAGATTCAGCAAGGTTACACAGGTACATAAACAGCAAAAGACTAGATGGAATATGGATTCAATGTCCATGCTAAGCTTATTTTGTCTTCCGTGATAAGTTCTGACCCGCAATACTTTCAGAAATAGGGAATAGGAATCTTCCTCAGAAAGCAGTGAAATATCACTAGATCTCCAAAGAACTGCGGAGGAACAAATCAGACCAGGTTGTCCTCTCAGATCTACTGAGAATGGGATCGGACTGACGTGCAAGGTTTAATCACAGGCAGAAGAGATCTACCCTCAGAAACAACCTCTGGAATAAGTTTTTCGTCATATCCCTAAAATAGGAGCTAAGCCTTTCAGTAGATGCTCTCAATTCTCGAGCACATATTCGAAAGCATCAGATAGCAACGCCATCTTAATTTGACCAAAAAAAACTAGGCAGATCTTTTAAGGGAGAAAATGCAAATAAAGAAAGAGAATTGGATCAGAACGGCAAATCAGTTCTTTTGCAGCACTGGGTGAGCTCAAGGCTCATCCTCAGAAACAGCCTCTGATATAAATCATCATCTCCAAAAGAACATGAACAAAGCAAAAACAAAATCCAAAATCCAATTACTTTATAGGTCAACAAACTGGTACCACTCCCCCCTCAGATCTAAAATAGGTTCTACTTGCAAACAGCAATCTACGAAGTGGTTTTGGATCAGAACGGCAAATCAGTTCTTTGCAGCACTGGGAGAGCCATTGGCCCGTCCTCAGAAACAGCCTCTGATACAAATCATCATCTCCAAAAACAAAATCCTACAACTAATCTTTCACAGATCTAGCCTTCCACCATAGGAAAGAGCCCAGATCCAGGTGTTTAACTTCCCATGAGCCCATAGGAGAAGCAACATTAGGCGATTGTTTCTAGAAGGCACGGTAAATAAAGCCTAAAGCCTGAAGGAATCACATCTAAATCTTGATGTGTTAAGAGATAAAATCTCCTCAGAAACCCAAACCAAGAACCATGTGACATGTGACGGATAAGGGGTTCTTGAAGTTCATGAACAGTGGTAGACACGTCACACGTCCCTGTCCTTGCATCAAGAACCAATATCCGATTATTTTTAATATATCAAAAAAATATATAATAATATTAACAACAACATATGCCAAAATGCCCTTTGGACTTATTATTCTTGGGGGAGGAGATGGGCCTCTGATGGGCTACACCACAGACCACACAAACAGCAGGTGGATAAGACTAGACTAGAAAAGTAGAAAACCTAACATGTCCTCATAGGAAATTACCACATCAGCGCAAAAGTACTGGGAAAGGATAAACGGTATGGCAGAGAACAATCACCCAGATCTACAGAAAATACGGAAACAGGGTTTTCTTCTCTCTTTTTTTTTGCCAAAAAAACTGAACCTTTTTACTCCAAGATCTATATTTTTTTTGCCCAAAAAAGGCTTCTTTATTCCCAGATCTATAGTTTCCTGAGTGGTAAAAACAACTCACAAAAACAAAATTAAGTTTTGACCGTCTACAGAAATCGATATGCAAAAAAAAAAAAAAAAAAACGACCTCAGACTTGCAAAAATCTCGACCTTCTAGAAAGGTTTTTTGAGAGGAAAAGTCTTCAAAACTAAGCTGATACATCTACTGATGTGAGAGAACGCTATTGTATTCAAAACTAAGCAGATACATCTACTGGAGTATTTTAGGGACAAAGGTGCTGAACAGATCTGAGAATAGAACTACTTTTCCAGATTTGTGCAAGAGAAAATTAGCAAGAAAACGCGCAGGAAGCTGAAGAATTTCATACTAATCGTAACAGTAGAGCATAAAGATAGATCTATCAGGGCAGGCAGGAAGAACACATGAACAAAGCATACTAGCATATATTCGAGGGATCAAGGCGTGAAAAAAAATTATACCTCCTGCTCGTCGCCCTCGACTTCCTCCTCTTCCTCTTCGTCATCGTCGTCGTCGTCGTCATCATCATCGTCGTCGTCATCGTCGTCGCCGCCATCCCCCTCCTCGCCGTCCTCCTCATCCTCCTCGTCGGAGATCTCTACGACGGTGTGCCCCGCCGCGCCCTTCTCCCCCTCCTCGGCGTCCTCCTCCTCGTCGTCCCCCTCCTCCTCTCCATCCCCCTCCTCGTCGCCGTCGCCCTCTTCCCCATCTACCGCCTCCTCCTCGACCTCCTCCTCCCCGTTCACCACCTCTTCCTCCTCCACCGCCGCCTCCTCCGCCTTCTTGGCCGCCGCCGCTGCAGCAGCAGCGGCCTTCTTCCGGGCAAGCTCCGCCGCCCGCTCGTCCCCCTCCTCCACCTCGACCGCCGGCTTCATCTCAAGAAGCGAATCAAAAAAAATCAAGAAGAAGAAAGAAATCTCTCCCTTTGCTTTGGTTTGGTGCTGTGGCGGCGGAAAAATCAGGGGAAAATTTGGGGCGAATTTGTAAGCGGCGCGGGGAAGAACAGGGGGCGGGGCGGGGCGGATGCCTGCGGGGAGATCCTGGCCGTCCGAGACAAGAACAGTCACGCGGATCGATGACGTGGCGGACGATCGGACGGCTGCGGGGGATCGGTTCGTGCCTTCGTGGAGGGGGAGGACTCCGGAGTCCGGAGACGGGGTAGGAGGAGAACGCTAGGGCTGACGTCAGCGTGAGGGAGATTCTTTTTTCCCAAGAAAATAAAAAAAAACTCTGGATTCACGCTCTCTTCTAAATTCTGATTATAGTAAAATAAGGCCCTGTTTCTTTGAGGGACTTTAAGAAGAAGTCCCCCCACTTAAGTCCCTAAAAGTCCCTAGAGAAACAAACAGGAGGGACTAAAAAGTCCCTAATAGGGTATTTTCCAGAAGTCCCAAATGGAGGTGCTTATTGGGAATATGGTCATTGTGCAGTGCATTTAATGAACTTAAGTCCCTTTTAGTCCCTATAACCAAACAGCCATGAACTTAATTGATTAGTCCTAAGACTAAAATAAGTCCCTAGGACTTATGGATCCAAACACCACCTAAAATCAGTTGGTATACATTAAGATTTAGATTTATCGCCCAAAAATAAACTGTTGCATTTTTTTATTTACTTTCTTAGAATGTAAACATCCCGGCAAATGACCTCATGGTCTACCAAAAATATTTCTCCTAATTAAACTTCTCTTTAAACAAGAATTTTTAGAGATAGAATTGTACAGAGTTTTCTAAAATACATGTGTGTGTGTGTATATATATATATATAGGACACTCATATGGGGCACCATGGTGCCCGGGCACCATGGTTTCAAATGCACAAAATCACTTAAATTTTTCAAAATTTTCAAATTGTGAGTATATACCTAGTTATAAGAATTCGATTCATACCTATACCTATCAACAAAACAACTCAAATTTAACTTTATTTCACAATCCATGATTACATACCTAACTAATTATATGTATGGATGCTATATACCTAGAATCAAAATCTAACAAAAACAAGTTCAAATTCAGTTCAAACTTGCTTTCAACTAGTTAGTAAAGTAGTTAATATTAATACCTAAATAATTGAAAAAGTTTCATGCTCATTTGAATTGGGTATATACTCAATTTCAACAATGATGCCCGGACACCATGGAGCACCAAACAAATTTACTATATACATATACATATACATATATATATATATATATATATATATGTATGTATGTATGTATATATCCGACTTATGTTATGTTAGGCATCTGTATGGTGTACAAAACATAAAAATTAGCCACTATTCTATTGTAGTACAGTACTATTAGTTTTTTAAACAACACATACAATATAGTTTGTTTATTAAACCAAACAAAACCATATTATTGTAATAAAATTACTTCTATGATAAATATGCACTTAAATTTTTCATGTATCTAAATATCTAACAGAAATATTCAAAGATATGAGAATGCATATGTCAAAATTGTTGAGGAAGCACCAACAGTGTATTAATGGAGTCATGTACGTATACAGTTATCGAGAAAAATGATCACTTGTTAATTTATTTTTAATACATAAAAATCTTTCAAAAGAGTTCATGATTTTTTACTACAAATTAAAACTACATTGATGATTTTATCATGAAACAGTTATATTAATAGAAAATAGTGCTGACTAGTGATACTCCTATGGTTTGAGGAGATCCTTCAAGGAAATGTGAGGAACAATGGAGTGTTTTGACTAGAGATGGCAATGGGTACCCATAACCTGAGACCCGACGGGTTTTTACTCTATTAGGAGCCAATCATGTTCTAACTCTTATACCCATGGGTCTACTAACGGGCGAAAACTCTTACCCATTAGGTACGTGGGTATGGGTCCGTTCTTTACCCACCCATACCCACCAACCCGTGAGTAGAAAAATACCCGTTGATTGAGTTTAAAACTATGAGCATTATAACTCTCAACGACTACTAAATCATAGCATAAAACTTCTTTCACATCTTAAAGCATTGCTTAGTCTAGTTATATGAAATTATTATTTGATTTCTTGATTATGTAATGTGGTTTTTTTACTCGCCTTTATACACTAATATTAATAGCATTGTTGCTAGAGAAAATATTGATGGTTTACAACTCTAATATGGCTAATTATAGTACAAAACTATAAATATTACAATAAAACTATAAATATTACAAGTCAATTATATGGGTATGGGTACCCGTTGGATACCCGTTACCCGCATGGGTGTGGGTATGGGGACAATTTTGTACCCGCGACGGGTGTGGGTATTTAAGTGGGAGTATTTAGACATCGTGGGTGTGGGTATGAGACAAGAGAACCCGATGGGTATGCACCCGTTGCCATCTCTAGTTTTGACTCTCTTACTTTCGGTGTAAGTGGGCTTCCTTACGTGACTGTCCTTAGATTTTTTTTTATTGTAAACGCTTAGTACTAGGAATCTAAAAATTTCAATTCAAATAATAGTAATCTTTTAATTAAGTTTTTTTATTCAAAATATATTAAAATAGTGTTTTTATTTAAACATATTTTAATTAAGGTTTATATGTGCAATCGTTGTTACCCTTTTCTCCCAGGTTATCAGAGATTCCATCTTCAGGGTATGATTGGCCTTCCTCATCCATCTTTTCATCCCCCTCTAGTTCTTCAGAACATATATTAGGTTTGTTCTCGAATTAGCTCATCCTTGTATACTCAGTATCTTCCTTTCAAAAAGAATGTTTATCTTGTGTTAGAAAAACAGTATAGTCACATGAAAGTTTTATATCTTGTGTAGGAAAAAGAAAGAACTAGGAAGAAGCATGGATATGATATTGGTGAAAATTGTCCATCCACATGAAAACAAAATTCCTAAGGGGTAATTATGATTGTCCTTTGTTTAAACATGCAAGATATAGGTATTTTGGTAGCGACCTAACGAATAGTATAATTTTAGTACGAGATTTCTTATACTTTTACATTAGCGTCCAAAAGTTAATGTTGAAAAAATTAATTCTAAAGTTATGTTCTAAATTTCAAATTTGACTACACTCAAATAAGCAAGATCCTGTGATAAGGAAAAGGTAAATTTAAGAAAACCATGTTGTACTCCTATTGTGACCCTATTAAGACCGTTTGTGATACAGCGTGTGTCCTCTCATTCAAATTTCCCTTCACATCAGCGTCAGTCATGCCTGTGACCCTCTTAAGACCGTTTGTGATACAGCATGTGTCCTCTCATTCAAACTTCCCTTCACATCAGCGTCAGTCATACCTCCCTGAAGAGGGTCTCAGTCAAAACACACGATCAACTCCACCTTTTGTTCCTTTTGTACACCTATACGTATGTATATATTTTGCATGCAAATGTATAAACTTTATATGTGTATATAAAGTTTATATATAAACATATGTATACCAAGTACGCACACATAAAGTGTATTTATGTATGAACTTTATATATATATACACTTATATAACTTTTTTGTATGTATAAATTTATACGAATACACTTTTGATGTATAAATTTTTATATACACGTACAAACTTTGTACGTATACATAAAAAATTCATACGTATATATACTTGTATAATTGTTTTAGGTATATATATATATATATATATATATATATATATATATATATATATATATATGCATGGACGCGTACTCCGTACCATATAAAAACTAATGTACATATACGTACATTTTTTTAATATATACATACGTATACAAATTTTATACACATACATACGTATGTATGTACAAACATGTATAGTTGATGCGTACATAATACCGTACAAAATTGGTCGTGTGATTAATCGTGCGTGTGGCTTATCACGCATTAGCCTTTTCCATCCCCAAAGCTATTTGTCCCTTCGCAAGGAAACCCGTTCCTCATCAAGGTTTGTCGAGTTGTTAGGGCATAGCACTTGACGAGTCTGCCCTGCATGGTCCCCTAGGACCCACACCCTTGTGCAATTTTGTTAGTGGTAAGAGGAAGCAAAGGATGTGACCGGAGTGGAGAAAGACTACTATTGAAGTGGAGAAAGATGGCTAGAAGGGACGTACCAAGAGACAAGAGGTCATTATCACCACTCAATTTGTGTTGCAAAGCTCCTCTGCCATTGCCTAGACCACCACATCTAGGCAGATCTGCCGCCAAGGCTACTGGTTCAAGCAAATCGGGCCTGTCGGAGAACTCGGCAATCGCCACCTTGATCTACCATCGCATTGGAGCTTGATTCACTAGGAGAGCTCAATGTACCACCACCCACCTCAATCTATGCTTGAAAAGCTCATGGGAGAAGGGAGAGGCGCCGCTGGTGGATGGGGAGAGAGAGACGACACTCGTGGCCCAAGAGGAGCGAGAGAAAGATGAGAGGAGAGGCCGGTGGAGGTGAGGCCGTAAGGAGATGGGATGTGAAGCGTATTTTTTTTCTTAGTTTTGTGGTGTTTGGTGAAAAATATTAGACTTATCCATACATTATAAGAAAGTATGAGGACTGAATAGAAAGTTATAGGAGCTGAATGCAAAATTTAAGTCAGTAGTAGTAACAACTTAAGCAACTTTGCACTGTAGGATTAGAATTAGTGTCGGATTAATTGGTACGCTCTCTCTCCTTTTGGGATCCTCATAGTATAGTGTGTTGCACTGTGGGTATCCGAAAAGTGATGAAATAAACATGAGTAAAACAGATACTGATTCTAAGATTAAATTTTAAATTTCAAATTCTATTACGGGTACGTTATAAGTCGATTATAAGCCGCTCGATACTGCAGATTCGAACTAAACGAACTCTAAGTATTGTAAGTTAAAAGATTATTGGCTAATTCATTCATTATTTTTACAAGAAGCAAGACACTCATTCAAATAGTACTAGACTGGCTCCAAATCTCAAATAATCGTTTGGAGGATGTGGAGTTGAAGCAAACGTTTCGTGATCCGATAAAAAGCACAGAAATTTAAAAAAAATTGTAGATGTGGT